AGGAAACAGCTTCCCAATGGCCCTGTGCCCCTTTTGAGGAGGTTGTTAATTAGCTCCTTTTTAAAGACTGGGGCATACAGTTCTGCACTGTTTAAGGTGTAATTTTAAAACAAGAATGGGACTTTGATCTTTTTGACACTGATTGTCTTTCTCTTTTCACAGGTGGATGGAAAACTTGTAGCACGAGATGCTGGACACCCCCATTACCCGTTCAATGATCCCTATTAACTGCAGTAATGAGATGTTGGAGCAGACTCCTTGTGCTGCTCTACAAGCTAGCTGTTGTCAGAGTTTATTATGAAATCTTTCCAAATAAAATCTTCTGACTATCTGGCTTGTGTTGGCCTGCAGGATGGTGCTCTGCCTATAATCCCCCCTCTTCCTGCAGGGATTGCAATGGCCTTGTCAGAGCAGCTGGCGGGACATATCATGACTCCTAGTTGGTTCCTGTATTGTAATGTGAAATAGTCACAGGGTGGGGAGGGTAAACCAGACTCTAAAGCTGAAATTCAGGACAGTACACTTGTGTAAAGCAGTTGTCGAGGCTTTAGCTATTATGCTTGCATTCGTAGGTGGGCATGGAGCGATAGTAATAAAAAAAGTAACTAACTGCTTAATCCTGAATTTCCATCATTTCCTAAACGAAAAGCAAAACTTCACGGGTGACTGTTGTGTTGATGTGTGAAAGGATTGATTAAAACCCACATTTAATTCCGTTCTTCCTTTTGGACTCTTTGTGGGAGATGTAGAAATATACTTCTTTTTCCAGTTGCATTTGCCTTTCTGTTGCTACAGAAAATAAATGCACAGCTGGGAACAATCTTCTGCTCATTTCCTGCTCCTTGGTAGTTGGGGAGTTTCAGATCTGGCCAAGCTCTGACGGCATAGTCTGATCGATCGAGCACAGGGCTTGAAAATAAAGGGTTACTGCATACAAGTACACCCCAGCACTGACGACTTGTATGGCCTTGGGGGTGTCATTTAATGTCCCGATTATCACTTCCCCACTGCAGTGTAGAATTAATATAGACTTGCCTTGGAAGCACAGCAGTTTTAATAGCTTTTTTCCCTTGACTCGGCAAACTTCAAGGGATTCTTTAAGTTTTGAGGTCTCTTTTCAGATAGCCCATAGGCAATTCTTGTGTTTTGCTGCGATGAGAAGGAAACCACTCTAACTGGTAGTAGGTGAGAAGTACTACTGCTTGTATTTCTACAACAGCTGATAAGTACAACCAAAAGTAGAAGAGAGAATTCACATACTCAACAAATAACTTTAGAAAAAGGGTCAGACAATAATGGTGGGGTTAGTTATCGTGGCTTTGGTATAACTGAACTTGTTTTGCTTTAAGACGAGCAAAAGATCATCTCGTGCGACCTCCAGCATGGCGCAAGATCTCGGCGTTCCCTGCACAGACCTTCTTGGTTGGGGGCTGAACTACACCTTTGAGAGAGGTTCAAATGCAAATTTTTTTTCTTTGTGCCTTCTAAATGATCTCCATCGCTTAGTAAATCTTCGTAATACAGTTTACATTTAAACTTGTGCTAATGCAGCAACACGTCATAACTGGGTTGCTTTTGTTTAAGAAACGAGGCCTTTTCTTTAGGAAAAAAAATCTCTCTGTTCTGGTTTTTCTTTGACAGCCGACACGTTTGTTTGAATTATTGTCCAGCGTTAATCAAACCGGGGTAACTGAGTTTGAATATTGTCTTGCTGCCGATCGGCAGTGTACTAATCTCTGCTATAGGTTGCTTTCCTTTACAGACGCTATGCAAGAGAGATGGCAGTCTGTACGCTCTTGGAGCACTAGCTGCTCCTTCCAAGGAAGATTTTGTGCCTGTTTATTACATTTTCTCTGCTAATTGCATGTGCTTTTAATAAAGATGGTGATCAGCATCTTGTGGTTTTTTTTTCTAGGTTTTGAATGGAATGGCAAATACAAGAAACCCAAATAAATCTTTTCTTAATTTCTATCTCAAATGATAGCATCCAGTAAAAGGGTGGGGGGAGGGGACACAAAAACCATGGTAAAAGCAAGGCTTTCTGCTTGTGTATAATTCTGTAGGACCCCGAGACCTCCGGCTCGCCACTGTTGTGCCACACGTCTCTCAATCTGCTACCACCCAAATAAAACAGTGGGAAATGAGATTTAAGTCTTAAATGGTGCAGCTGCTTCTGGTACTCGAGTGGGAGTTTTGAAGGACTTCACACAGCTGCAGCCGTGAAGCTGGGGTTATGTCCCCCACATTTTCTATGTTGAGAAAAGATCAAAGGGTATCTACGAGCACGGTGGGGTCCAAGGAACTGTTAATATTAACTCTCGAGGCCCAGGTAATACCTGGCAGGGTGTTGGGAGTTTCTGACACAGGTCACGAGAGCTATTAGAGCTTCCCCAAACTATTGGGATACTCTCCAGTTCCTATATGCTAGGAACTCCTACACCTGGTCATGCAAAAACATTAAAATATTACAACCGTGTTGTTATTGCTTCATAAGTTACGTGCTACAAATTAAATCTCAGAGACGGATGCGCTCTCTAGATAACTGCTTGCGTCACAGTGGTACCTGGATAGTGCTGGGACTTGTTGGCATAGCTGGCTCAGTACTGGCCTCCTGTTTTGCAGAGGTTGAAATCAGACAGGGACGTGAGGCTCGTATCACAAGTCACTGAGGTTGTTGGCTTTGCATGTTTAATAACTGTCAATGGCATGGAGCATCCTGTGGGATTTGTGCTTAAAAACTGGTTTGTGTCTTCTTGATGGTGATAAGTGCCTTCATAGATTGTAAGGGACCTCGGAAGATCATCAGGTCCAGCCCATCGGGGTCAATAAGACATGCTGTGCGTGCAACCCACTTTTCTAAGTGCCTGAGGTATTCAGAATAGCGGCAGTCTCTTAGCAAGGCCGACCAGGATTTTACCGGTGTAAAAACAATGCAATTCGATGCATCTGTTAGCAGACCGTTGAGCGTCCCTCTTTTAATGATGACTTTAATGAGTCCAGGTGAGACCATGAATTACCCCTACATTACTAACATTGCTGACACCTGATTTGTATGAGCAAATACTGTGCCCCGATAGGCCATTGCAGTACAAGGACTAGCAGGATTAG